ATACTCCTCTTCCCCCGCGACTCCTCCTCGGTAGCAGAGTGGCTCCACCTCTACCACCTGTCCCCTGCACCCTCGCATCCAGAGTGTGCTCAATGAGCACGGCCTCTGGATAGTACATTTTTGTCGTTTAAAAACGTTGCCCTTACTTTAGGATAACATAATCCTGTGTTATAAGGACGTTTTACAAACATAAATTTCACGCGGACAAACACCCAGATGCGAAACAACCATCTGCGGGTCACATAAATAGTTGTCGAACCCACGACCCCCGACACCGAAGCCAATACTTTGGCAACTGCTCCACGGAGTCATCATTACTGAGAACTTATAGTACGGCAGTTTCCGATCCACAAGTCCGTATTTCAGAGCGAGCTCCTGGTGTAGGATTCTGGCTCCTAAGTTGTGTCTATGCAGATACTCTACATAGATACTATACAGATGCAGAGTTAGAAAGCATGGAACCGGAGATAATATGCCAAAGTATCTCCCCAGGAAGGTGACAAGCTCGACAGATGTCGACGGTGCCATCCCTTAGGATGTATTTCCGATAGTTGTTCGTCTTAATAACCTGATCCTGTACCGCACAGATAAAACCTTCGGTTTCCCCAAACAGGTCACCGAAACGTAGTCAGTTAAGGGAGGCAACAGTGTCTACGAAAGGCTCATGTAGGGCCTTGTAGACCTCCCGTGGAGCTCTTCTCCTTCCATATATTGTCTCGGTTGGAAACGCTCAGTGCTCCCGGGTCCTGCCATTGCTGCAGTGCTAAAGCTAGAGGGGTAAGTCCTTTATGTAGCTCCGAACGTCCGTGTAGATTGATTCATCCGATCTCGGCTGAAAGTATTTGCGGAGGCTGCACACCTCGCGATTGTGCATGGTGAAGACGCATAAAGAGAACGCCCCCCCCCCCCCCCCCCCCATCCTTCCACGGCAAGTACAGCCTCAGGTTTGGCATGACCCATCCGTTAAATGCGCGCGCTTTGTTCACGCCTGACAAATGGCTGTTAAACACTTTTGTCAGAGGTGCAAAAACACATCACAAACTGACTTTAAACTGAGATTAACATCCGATTTCATGATTAAAACTTTGATGATAAACATATACTTAGGTAATTGTTGGGTAAAATGTAAAAAATATGTACTTTTTTCTAATAAAATGTTAAACCAATTGCACTCATGGTTTATTTTATATAACCAGTTCATAGTTTCGTATGATGTCGGTAATATCGAACAATTTATTAATTTTTCAGTGTATATAGCATTACTTAGTAATTTGTATCTAAATGTAATTTCCAAAACTCACGCGTTACAAAAAAATACCGATATACCGGTAGGACCGAAAATACCGGTCATCCAGGTACTACAATTTTAATTTTGATATTGTTTTATGTTTTCACTTCTGTCGGCAGTCACAATGAGACTTCCTGTTTGTTTTTTATGTTATAACTTCGAAAATATGCAGGTTTCCTCACGATATTTCATTCCCCGCAGAACACGCAATAACGTGACATATCAGCATTTAAAATTACCAATTTGATTGGTGCCGGCACCGGGGATTGAGGGCACTGGGCACAAGTCGCTTGGTTCAAAAGCCGACAATGAGCTCTCTCTCAGCTCATAGTCCGGTTGTAGAGCCGTTAAATCGATTGAATTTAATAATTTCTTCTTATAACCGTATCGAAACTTTATATCTTCGCCTCCAAACCAGCCGGCAACGAATGGACAAATCGAGCGGGCGATACAGACGTTCAAAAAGGTTTGTCACGGGCTGGGGAATTACCTAGGGTTATATTCGTCCAAGACGGTGCCGACCCACCTAAACAAGAATCCTGCAGAGCTGTTGAATGGTAAATATAGTACTGTGGTGTTAGCGCTAGATGCAGATAATGGGCCCGACCGCTCCGAACGACAGCTGGAGGTGGTCCCTATGGACCAGAAGAGAAGTGGCGACGAGCCACCATCGAGCATGTCGAAGGCCCTAGTTGTGTAAATCTGGCACGATCAACGCCCTAATTGTAAACCAGCCCGCGGTCAGGTTGCCTATATCGCCTCAATCGCACAGACAAGTTTAACTTCTGGATCAGAATCACCAATACTAATTCCGCCGCTAGAAATGTGGCCTGAAATTGTTAACATGCATACCAACTGCTGTCTACATGGATGCTTGTGATGGAGCAAGTGTTAGTAATTTATAGGTTTGGACCCAATGCCGGAGGTCCCGCCGGATAACACCACAGTGTTAGTGTAGCAACACCAGTTCGCCCTCGCCTCCGAGCACGGTGAGACCAACACAACGCGTACCCACGGTACACCCGCGTTACAGGGCGGTTCTCACCACTCCCAGCCACCGATTAGCTAATTGCACAGTCGACGACCATCGGGGTTTCGGTCCGAACCGCGACCTCGATGGCCCTTAGATGACACACCATAGTTAACCGCATGCATGAGCACTTGCATGGCCCAACCCACAGCAGAGGGCCCAAACCCGTGGGTTCTGGCTAGCCCACCGGTTCTGCGTCAGATGAAGCTTTAATAATCTCGGGACTGAAAGCAAAAACATCAGTTAATACAAGATACAAGACAAGATAATTTATAGGTACATTATTAAAAAAAAACAATAAAAGAGTTATCCATTAAAACTTTTATTATTAATTCAGTTTAAAGTGTTCATGGGCAGCAGTAATCACTTACCATCAGGTGAGCCTCCTGCTTGATTGCACCTTTTCTCTATAAAAAAAGTACAATATTTGTAATATTAGAGGAAGCTAGTTTTGATAAAGTCACCCTTTTATAAATTCAATAATTTATAATTTCTTTTAGTTCATATTCTTCACCCTTTTATAAATTCTTTTAGTTAAATCATTAAAACAATAAACCTGCAGTTTTAACAATTCATTCAGAGAAAATTATTTATTCTAAACAAAGAATTTATAACAAATAAATAATCTATGTCATTACTTATGAAATTTGAAAAATACCTAAACTTTAACAAAACAGTTTTATTATATTTTATATACAATGTACCATTTGATATTTACTTATATATCAAACTGACTATGTTTCTTACTATTAAAACATAAATCTATATAAAAAAAAACTAGCGGAGCCAACAGACGTTATCCTGCACACATGACTTAAATCCGACAACTTATAAATAAAAAAAATACAAATAAGCTGTAGTGTCTGGTATTGTAAATTAAACCATTCCCGAATCGAATTGAAGGCACAAAAAATTTCATTAAAATCTAGATATAAACATACGAAAAATATGGCATGTTGGTCATTTCAGTGAGCAGTAACCATATTTTGCATTATAATATGTAACAATGTTTATGTGATTGCAATATAATAATATTTTTTCTCCACAAGGAAACACTCAGATTACAAAACATTCTAATCATTAATCACTGCTCCGTTCTTACAGAAAGGCAAAAAACACTGTTTCACTTTTAATGCTTTCTCAATACATATACTGGGACTGATTAAAAGGAAAACTTTAACTACATATAAAATATTTATCATTGGGGTTCCAATACTGCAAATCAATTGTTTGTCTTTATTATATACAAAAGTTAGTTCAAGTACAGCAAACCCAAAAAATTAGAAATTATCAACAAACAAACCACCATCATAAAACAACAATAATACTCTCTCAACAAAAACCAAAACTCTTAATAATAACTAAAACCACAGAAATACAAGAAAAACATACACTATAAAGGATGAGGAGATATCAAAAATTCTGTAAAAAGTTTCTCTGAAAAATTCCGTTTTTGAATTCCTTTTTTCAATATATATTTGACTTTGTACTAATTAGTAATTATCGATTTCGATATGTCATCTGCAATGGCAAATAACTTTTGTGCTTCGTTAATCCTGGTAAATCATTGACATATCGATATTTTTGATTCAATTATATCGATATTATTATCAAAACAGATAATTATGTTGTTGTTTCTTTCTGAGATGGCCATAGATAAGACATATATACTGAAATATATATTGGAGATGGCTTCTGTGGATGGAAAGACAATTGTGTCCATAGATAAGACTTAATATATACTGATTGTGTTTAGTCCAAAAACGACATTTTTTCTTAATTTAAATCTGGCACTGACAACTAGGGCTGCCAAACATACTTTATAATAAAGTATCCCACTTATTCTTGGTAAATAAACTTTATACTTTAGTAAAAAAAAGTATGTGAAAACACTCTATTTTCAGGTTTCCTGGAATGCATAAAATAAAACATCCATAAGAATAATTACTGACCTCTTATCGTTATTTCTAAGTTGAAACAGAACACTTTCAACTTGGAAGCTTATGCTGTTAATTAAATTATATGATTTAGCAAAAACATCTTATCCCAAGAAATTTTTTTCACTTTTTTTAATGATAATTTTTCAATTTGTCCATACACACGACATTTTGTACCATACACACGTTGATTCCATGATCAATGTGTGTATGGTACTACTATGTGTTTTCCCAGATTTTCATTTTAATAAAAGTTACTTTTTAATTTAAATTTAAATTGGGAATGTAAAGATATCTTCAAAAGTATAGTGAAAAACTGTTAGTGTGTGTCTTGTTTAGTTCGCAATAAAATAAGTATATACTACACCCCCCTTCGTGATTTCTTGCCAAACAATGGCATAATTAATTTGTCATTATTTCTAGTATTTAATTTATGTCTGTCACTATTCTTTTTACACTCCGCCAATCCGCAGTGTCCGCCAATCCGCAGTGGGGCCGCGTGGTGGACTATGCCCTGATACCCTCTGTATAGAGGAGGCCTTTGCCCAGCAGTGGGACATGTATAGGCTGTTACTTTACTATTCTTTAGATAACAATTAAGATTATGTCTAACATACAAAATATTACAATAAATATATTGGGACGCAACAGTGAGTACATTAATGTCTTTAAAAATATCTCTGATCATCTAATATCATCTGAACATCGGAGCCCGGAATACCCGGGCTCCGATGTTATAGATTGCTCGGACAGCTCTTTTTTGAAGAATAAATATAGAATTTATATCGGATGCACTACCCCACAACAAAATGACGTACGATAAGATGTTGTGAAAATAACTAAAGTAAACAAGTCTGGCAGTATCGATATCTGTTAGCTGTCTAACCTTCCTAACCGCAAAAACAGCGGAGCTATTCGTCAATGATTGTCAGTTTACCTAAAGAAATTAACCTTGAACTATGTGATGACAAAATTGAAAATATCGTCAAAAATTAGTTTCAACCTTAATAGCATGCAACATTAGCTTGATTTTTTATTACAGCATGACATTCGTATTTGCGCGGGGAACACATTTTGTAAGTAACGTCGTAAAAAAATCTTATTTATATCACATTACGGTCGCGATTTTATTGAAAGTAATGTAAAATATTATCCGCCTAGAGCGAAGGCGCCCAATGTGATGTCGCCCGAAGCGCGCAATCATTTCGCTCGCACACGCATGGCATCCTTTTCGTATTCGGCGATCGCGGGAACGCGAAGTAATTCATCACAAATAGTGATGCTCGCCATACTCGCGTAATGTGTAGTGCAGTATGACATTGCTAAGTAATATTACTCGATTGATATCATTCGGCATTACTTATACATCTCTAGTTCAGAGCGCTCTTTATGATGAGTAGGCACAAGACTAGTTAAAGCTATAAGAAAAAAAGAGTACAGCAAGTGTTTGTCACTTTTCTCGAGGTGCCTCGTCTTTCTCGTCCCCGTATTAAACTTCAGTGCTGCTTATTTCTTTGTTTTCAACTTTTGTAAACTTAAGAAATTGGCCCAATTGGGACCCTTTCGTGGCTTCGCTCCGTGCACAATAACATATCAGTGGTATAAAATATCACGGGAATAATATTTATATAATTTTTATTCCATAATTTGCTGTTTTAAAAATTGTTGTTATCATTATGAGTAAGTGGATATAAAATGGAAAATTGTTTTCAATAACATAATGTTATTTATATCCAAACGTATACTTACCTACCAAAAAAATGTGCCTAGAAAATTTTGCTTTCCGCCTTTTTTAGTTAGACGGCCAATGCTACCAATATAAAAAATGTAAATGTCTATGGTGGTTATAAAAAAATTGCTGCCCTGATTTGGATTCTAGGTGTATTTCTTCTGTAATTTTCTTATTAAGTTATTTAGTAATTTTTTTTATCTATTAGATTTGATATTTTTTTAGTTACAAAGATTTAATCTTGTAAATATTATATCAATAAACTGTATTAAATTTCATTAACATGTCATTAATTATATTCATCTATTATAATTATTTATTTGAAATGATCTATCTATAACATTTAATAAAGTGGGCCTCGGCTACCTCACTCACCAGATGAAACGCAGAAGTGCAACACTTCTACTTCACGCCAGTCTTCTGTGAGGTCGTGGTACTAACCCGGACGGACCTGCCAATTCGTGCAACGGCGAACACTGTTGCGTGGCCCTACCACCATATAATAATAATTTTGTGTATCTACAATTTTTTTCAAACCATCCGCAGTCTTTAGAGGAATAAAAAAAGATTTAAAATTTTAAAAATGTACTGTGCGTACAAAACAAATAACGTTTTACAAATATTTAAAATAAATATTGACTTAACCATTCTTAATTTCAAGATAGAAAAAAGTTTTTTCGTTAAATTTAATAAAGTTTTCGATATCTTCTAAGCCTTAATTTTTTATTAATACAAACTGGTTGAAACTGTTTTAAAAAGTTTATACACATAGACAAGATTCTTGACGTCCGACGCCGCTCTTTCTCTTCTTGTTAAGTTGCCATCGCTGTTGCTAACGCCATTTTTGTTATACACTATAAGCTGCATAAGGTGATTTTTTTTTACTCATAGGCGTCTGTCGTAAGTGGGAAAGAGAAGGATGAACTATATCGCATTAAGCAGCTTTTACTAACCTGAATATTTTCTTCGAAGCTTATTTACGACGTTTCTCATTGTCTATGCTATAGATACGCATCCAGAGCGATACATACGGTATAAAGCTTTTAGTGACAAATGTGTAGTAAAAATGAAGGAAAACGCTGTACTTAAGTGGCAAAAAGTGTACAATCCCAGCGGCCCTCAACCGCGACCCCGCCATGGTCATCGCGCGGTTGCCATTAAAGATTTGATGATTGTCTTTGGCGGCGGAAATGAAGGGATTGTTCATGAGCTTCACGTCTTCAACACCTCAACAAATCAATGGTTTGTACCTGTCACTAAAGGAGAAGTGCCCCCGGGCTGCGCCGCCTATGGATTCGTTGTCGATGGAACGCGCCTTCTGGTTTTTGGCGGCATGGTGGAGTACGGCAAGTATTCTAATGATCTGTACGAGCTACAAGCTTCACGGTGGGAATGGAAACGTCTCAAACCTTTGCCACCAAAGCAAGGGTTGCCACCTTGTCCTAGACTCGGACATAGTTTCACTCTATTAAATGGTAAAGTTTATTTGTTTGGTGGTTTAGCTAATGAAAGTGATGACCCCAAGAACAATATACCAAGATACCTAAACGATTTATATACACTGGAGTTGTACCCGAGTTCATCAATGACTGTGTGGGATATACCTCTTACATATGGTCAATCACCACCACCACGGGAATCGCATAGTGGAGTTGCATATACTGATAAAAATTCTGGAAAATCTTCGCTTATAATTTATGGAGGAATGAGTGGGTCGCGACTTGGAGACTTGTGGGTGCTGGATGTGGATAGCATGTCATGGTCCCGACCAGAATTAGGTGGCCCAGCTCCATTACCCCGCTCACTACATACCGCAACTGTTATAGGTCATCATATGTATGTCTATGGTGGTTGGGTTCCACTTGTTCCAGATGAATCTAAACTAGCCACACATGAAAAGGAATGGAAATGTACTAATACACTTGCTTCTCTTAATTTGGAGACTATGACATGGGATAACATTGCTTTAGATAAATTTGAGGAATGTGTTCCCAGGGCTAGAGCTGGCCATAGTGCAGTAGCCATACAGACCAGGCTTTACATTTGGTCTGGCAGAGATGGTTACAGGAAAACTTGGAATAATCAAATATGCTGTAAAGATCTTTGGTACCTAGAAGTAGGTGTGCCTCCACAAGCAGGTCGAGTAGCTCTTGTTCGTGCAGGAACTACGTCCTTGGAGCTATGTTGGCCCGGTATGAGCACCGTAACTACATATCTTCTCCAAGTTCAAAAATGCGGCAAGGTTACGCCAGCTCGTTTCCCAGCTGCAGCTGAACCTGTGGCAGCCCCTCCGCCTGCTTCTCCTGTTGCTTCACAACCTGATGCTGCCAAAGCATTTGGATTAACTTTGCCAGTAACAACGGGTCTCCCTCCTATACCTGCTGAGCTACCAGTGCGGCCAGTTGCAGCTACTGTTTCTCCTGCTCCTTCGCCCATTGCTGCTAATTCTCAAAAGATTGTTTCTGGTGCTATAAAAGTTCCTGCTCAATCAGCCGCTGTCAAGATTTCTCCAAATACTCCAACACTAAAGCATTCATCATACCAAGGAAAAACTGTAGTGAAGTCACCTGCTGCTGGTTCATCATCGCAACAAATCAAGGTGGCTGCAGTCACACCACAAGGTGTTACGAGAATCGTAAGTGGTGTAGCAACACCGGGCACGGTAAGAGTGTCGACCGCACAATCGAACGCACAGATTGTTTTGGGAACGACCACTGGCGCATCAGGGACGCCCCGCTTCGTTCAAGTGAAGACTGGCACAAGTGCGGGAGTGCCGGTTAAACTAGGCACCGGCAACGTACCCGTTAAACTTGCAGGAAATGCAGTACCCCTAAAGATAGGGGCAGCTAATATACAGGGCAAAATAGCAACAAATACTGTACAAAAATTAGGACAAGTTACGACGTCCAATATGCCATTGAAACTTGGAGCGGGCAACGTCAAAATCGGCACTAGCAACGTGCTTGTTAAGACAGCTGGGGGAGTACCAATTCAAGCTGGAGTCGCAAATTTACAAACAAAAGTTGCTACCGGCATGCCTGTCAAGTTAGGCGCAGGTAACTTGCCAGTTATTGGCAGCAGTGGTGGTGCTATACAAATAGCAGGCAATGCTATTGCTGGCCAACAGGTTAAAACACCAGTTTACAAGATAGTCACAGCTAAATCTAATGATCAGGTTACAACAAGTGCAGGTGCTGCCACAGGAGCAACAGTCCTCCGGCAGGCGGGTGGCAATGCGGGCATACCTGTTATAATCAAGAAGACACCCGGTGCTGGTAATCAAGCATCTTCAACTCCACAGTATGTTACACTTGTAAAGACGTCAACAGGTATGACAGTTGCGACAATGCCAAAAATGGCGATGATGCAGAATCGCTCTGCAGTGCCAGTGAGCGCAGCGCAGGCGCAGGGTATTGCACAGGGTGCCACGATCGTAAAACTTGTATCAGCAAATACTGTAGGTGGCAACAAAATTATTACACTGCCCTCAAATATGTTACAGTTGGGTAAATCAGGGGTTGGTGGCAAACAGACAATCGTGATTACAAAATCAGCAGGGCAGGCAACGCAGCCCGGCCAGTCTCAGTGAGGCGACATCTACCAAGCGGCCATGACCGCTGAACTGACAAGTGAATTTCGAGTGCCCTCATCTGAGGTCACTCTATCCAAGAGTGATGAGCCCGAGTGAGCGGTGACCATTTTGGAGAGTAACTTCTAGATTGTATTTTTCTGCAGGAAACCTACAGTCAGGTAGTGGGTGGACTAAATGTATTTTAAATCATATGATTTTTTGTATGTTAGATGAGTTTATGTAAAAAGTTTCACCTAAGAGTTTTACTCAAATTTTTGTTTACTCTCATAATGTTTAATCTTTTCATTTTAATTGGTAATTTCTTATCTTGTGTTCTTGACCAGTCATTTTCATGCCTTGAATAGTGTTGCACATTTGAAATCCACTTGTGACAAACTTTATCTTGTGCTCGCCATGCAGTCCCTCAAACATATTTTGATGTTAAATAGAACAGAATGCATTGAAAGGGACATACAATGAGAGTTTTATTATTATTTAATGCTTTTATAGGTTTATTTCTGATTTAGAATAATTTTATAGCAATTCTGATGATTAAGTAGCATGTAAAGATATTATTATGACTAAGATCTTATACAACAGCAACAGCAAAAAATTTAATTTCTTTATGTGAACTATCAATTTATAATCTTTCTTTGGCACCTTCTCTTCTTAGGATATAGTCTTCCGAAATGTTTAGCTCTATCAAACCATGAGTTTTCAAATTATTAAACGGACAGTTGTGTTAGATACCACATTAAAGTAATATATTCATCAATTTTCCAGAATTTACTGGCTGTTGCAGATGCAGACACAAAGTGAACTGCTAATTAAAAGCAGCCAGTAAAACTGGTGGTGTAGTTTTTAGTTTAATCATATAATAATTAAATATGCACTATTTAAGTTTTATATGACAAGGCACTGTTAATGTTTATGTGTTGTTTTGAGTAAGTGAAGAGCGTTTCCTGGTGGTGTGATTTGTTCTGTGGAGAACTCACAAAGACTCGACACCTGAGGCTATATCATGTTGAAGCACCCCTAGCCTACTATGAAGTACCTAATGCAATAAGAAATAATATATTTGACCTGACCATGTAGGTACAACACTTTTAAATATTATTTTAAATAATTAAACAATTCTTATTACTGTGCATTTGTGTAATTGTGTAATTGAGTCAATCTTTTGTATGACTTTGTTTTGGTCATGAAAATATGCCTCCTAGGCAAGTCACATTGTTGACTCATGTGCCTGGTTATTGAATGTCCCAATATATGTTGTTTCATAATACCAACAATCAAGTGTTTGTTTTTTGATAATACAATATCAATAACTGTAAGAAGTAATTGACATAAAAATGCAGAATATTTTTTAAATTACAACAAAAGTATTTTCCACGGTCTGTGTCGTATATTTTTCTAAAATCTATTCTGCATTTCTTGTACTGTAGTATAAGTGTCTAGGATATAGGTTAACTAAGGTAAGCAAGGATATGGATTGTAAATATCATTAAGTAGATAAATTTAATGTTATAGTTTGTTCATATTATGTTCATTTGCTTGAATAAACGATTTGGATAATGGTGGGTTTCATTCTTGTGTTACAATGTTATCATCGTATGTAGCGACATCTTTTCGCGTCAGTTTAAAACTACCCTCCGGTAGTTTTTTGATTATATTGGATGTTTTCTTAATAATGTACTTGTATTCTTCTAGTCATAATACCATTTAATACAATAAAAAAGTATTTATAAATTTTGTTACTAATTATGTGCGGTAAACAATTATACATATTACATCAAAGTAATGAAAACTGTAATTCTTGCTCTCCAGAATGTACACACATGTTTTTATAATTAAACTAGACATATTTTATTTATGGTATGTACCAAAGTACTTTCATATATACTGAAATGTGCTTTCCTCAATATTGCTATCGGGTAGTAATAATGTTTCAACATATATAAAATTATCGCAGTGCCCTCTATCGAGATACGAGAGGTCCTTTAAAAAAACCTTTCATATTGTATCTTTGGAAAAGTAGTAAAAACATAAGTAGGTACATGAAAATGGTTAGGGTAATGGGGTCACCATCGTAAACAAGTAACATGGAACATTTTTTTTCACTGGATTTTACTCTTTTTTTTTTTTTTTTTCATTGATGTTTTTGCTTAATAACTGTAGACTATTAAAGCTTCATTGATCGCAATCATACATAAAAGAAAAATATTGTTATGCTATTTTCATCACAGCTATATAAATTTAATATAAGAGTTAAATTAATGTGATGTACAAATAGCGCCATCTATTAAAAAATAACCAACTTCTATGTAATTTGATGAGGCTATATTTTTGTATTATGAATAACGTTAGCTAGATGGCATGCTCTCCGGTTATGAAACTTGAAATGGCTGAAAAACAACTTTTAAGGACATGATAATTAGTAAAGTTACAGCCAGTATATACACTGCTATACATAGGTAACACTAAAAGTTTCCTAAACTGGCCACTTACATAAACAATATTTAAGTTCTTTATTTTTCGATTATTTTCCTTTTTCCAAATTCAGTTTCCTACTCCTGTTGATATATTTCAACAAATCCACTGTTTCCTTCCTTTTACTTGTCATTGGCATAAAGGATAACAAAATGCCAGAATCATAAAAAAAATTGCTTGTCTACATTAACATGGAATGAAAATATTAGTATGATTTTCAACGATTAGAAGTGTAATTTGACAGTTCAGCACCATACTTTTGGTGATGAAGCACCATGCCGGACGACTATTTATAGCTGGTTTGCGGATTTCAAGCACAGTCGTGTCAATCTCAGTGACGAAACTCACGATGGTCGCCCGTCCACCGCTATGGACAACAAAAACATCGATGCTGTGCGCCGTATGATCGAAACAGGCATGTGACCTACCATGAGATTCAGGCATCCTTAGAAATAAACATGAGTCAAATATAATACAATACACGACCATTTGCTTGTGGGAAGTTATTAACGAACTGCGTAAAAATAACTGTAACCGCCGTATCGTCTTGCATCACGACAATGCTAGTTCCCACACGGCCAGAAAGACAAACAAATTTTTGAAAGTGAAAAACGTAATAATTATGAGGAATAGGAATCCCGACCTTTTTCTGTTCCCAAAAATTAAGAACAAATTACGCGGTCAGCGATTTTCATCACCAGAATAGGCTGCCGAAAATTGTGAAAAACACGTGAAGGCCAATGAAGTCACCACGGAGGAGTGGCACAAATGTTTTTGTTGTTGTTTTCAAAATTTGTTTAATCGTATGAAAAGGTGCGAAAATCAATTTTGAGAAACAATAAATTAATTTTTGACTTTTAATTGTATTTTTATCTTATTCATTCCGGAAAATTTTAGTGCACCCCACGTATACTAATAATACTGCCGGGCAAAGGACTGTACAGAGGGTATTAAGGCATAGTCCACCACGCGATCTCACCGCGAATTGGCGAACTTCATATTAAATTTCGAAATATTTTTTATTTGTTAGTATTAGGAAAATATGGATGTTACGATCTTCCCCTTCACCGATGAGCACGTGATAAGTCAGAAAATAAAATTAACAAATTCATTGATGCCATTAGGATTTGAACTCGGGTTGTTAGATTATTTTGAATTGGAATTGGAAAAATGATAGCTCTTTGAAATAAAAGTTGGTAAATCGGCCCAAATGGGGAAGTGGGAGTTACAAATCATACTTTGCATATTATATCATAACGTTTTGTCATACAATCAAGCATTTGGAAAATCTGGATTCAAATTGCAAAGAAAATATGGCGACATTTTGAAGGAATTTTTGTATTTAAAGTACAGTGTAGTTTCTTTAGTATGTTATTTTAGTTTATGACTAACAAACTGGCTATAAACAAACTTAAATAACATTCAAATGATAAACTATTACAAAATATATTATAGAAGAATGAACCTAAAACTAAAAACCTTAAAAAAATATATAATATAATAACTAAAATATATTATTAAAAGGAGTCCCTAGGCAAGGTTCCGAAGATACTGGCAGCGTTCCCCCTTTGAATAGCTAGACTAATTCATAGTCCCAGGTAACAACTTGTCTTTAGTATTACAACTGGATATAAATGCATCTTTATATTCATAATACGATTAAAAAAAAAAACAATGATGCCTTTTCAGCCATATTAAAAGTAGATAAATAAACTTCATATTTTTAAGGAGCCCTTAATAAATAAACCTTAAATTTGGTCATATTTTAGAATTAATAATTTAAAAAAAAGATAAGATATGAAAAACAAACGTTTCGCTACAATAATATTAATTATGACGTAATGTTTGGGTTAAAGTTTATTATTATAGTCTAGCTAGATAGTTCACATTTATTCGTAATTGCGCGTATGCGGCTTGACACATTGATTAGCAGGTAATAGGCATTTTTACTTAAAATTGTGAGTGTGAAGCTATTGAAGAATGATGCTACATTTGTTACTGAATAAACAAAAAATCTTTAAACATTAAAATTTGTAGAAAAAGTACGAAAAGATTGTCGCCGCTGTCTTGTGAATCGAACCCACGTCTTCGGCATTCGCGGCCTGACGCTTTAGCCACTAAGGTAAACGGCTGATTGCCACACCGACGATAATCTTAGTGTTTTAGCAACATTGTTTTTTTTAATCATATTTTGAAGCATTGCTTGGCGCATCCATTGTTATATCCTTTCCAGCATACAAACAATTTCATATATCGTTTTACAATGATAATTCAAACGAGAGATGTCGCCATTGCTTTTCAGAAATTAATTTTTTTATAGTACTAATCTCTGCAAGCCGCGCCGCTAAGCGGCGTTACCCCTCCTCCGCTTCCTCATACTTTACCACCCAAATAGTTAAAAATTCACTGCATACAGCGCCATAAGATTATGCTGCATTAAAATGTTATACTGCATTAAATGCCGTTTGTGCCCGATTACAAGATTTTTAAAGTATCCATTATAAAGAAATAATTATGTTAAAATGTAAGGAAAATTCAAAGCTAATCGATAAACAAAAGACTGACTTTTTAATAAGAAGCTAGGGAATCAATTATCTTTTTTTTATTTTACCTCTTTGTATTTATTATTTTAGATAATGTTCAAGTATATTCAAACACAATGTTTCAAAAGTGACAAATATGGAAGTACATACAAACATTTTTAATAATGTATCTGCGGATGACAGTATTCTATTAGTCCCCTATAGAAGAAAGTGATGGCTCGTGGCTCGTGGGAGACTGCGCAAGCTGCGCAGCGGGGAGTCGCCGCGGCGTGTGTTGAGTGACAGTTGACGCATTAATGCGGCCGAAGATTGACTTTCATCATTTTTATTCGAATAAAATCAGTTGGTAACGTTATATCTTTTTTGGATCTGAAATGTATTGATCAAAAGGCTGGAGGTAAGTGAAGTTTAGTTATGAGTACGCTCCTCATCAACCGTGGAGGAGACATTTTATTACATTGGAATTTAAGAAAGTTTAAAAACATACATAAACTTCTTTACACCTTTTTACTCTAACGACTACGACTACCAAATTTATTTAGTTCCAATCGTAAAGCAGTGCCATAATTATGTAATACGAAGAACCAATAAAACATTCGTGCAGGGAAAGAAATAGATCCCGCGATTTGAATTAAGCATAGCCGCCACAGCCACTGGCATTATACGGACTTTTTGACTTTATTATTTTGGTTTTGTCACTGCACGAAACATGAATCTGTTATCGACTAAGTACAGCGGGTAGTATGGCCCCTAAGTGCGAAATTAAAGGTTACGCTCGGATTCCCTCCATTACATTTGGGACTAGTGCGTTGCTGTAATGAAGAATAAACGTTCCCTGGAGTAATAACAGTACGGGTGGCACAATATCGAGGTTCGGTTGCAGCTATAACAAAGACGATGATTGTGTCTTCGATCGTCGAGTGCTAAGTAAGTAACGCTGTAAGGAATAACGCGGCGGGCAATGAGCGCCCCACGCGCGCTCTCCCACCGCACATTTCCATAAGCGCCGTTGGCTCAAGGGTCACTACGCTTCCGTGGTGATATTAGGTCCCCTACACATCTCTTTGCTCAGAACGCGCGTCTTTACTGGAGCTCTAACTTCCCTTATCCTAAATTCTCCGTATTATCTGGCACTATGTAGACTATGACGCGATACCTATATGACAAAATTTAAATTTTCAAGTACGATCATTACTTACAACAGTAGGAAATTTTTAAGCGAGTGCCATAAAATTATGCCGATAAAAACTCATTCAGATTGCATTGATTGATAGCATAACGCGAATCTTATTTTAACGACTTGGTATATATGTAAGTATACATGCTTATTTTACCAAGATACTTTAAACAGTTTTTTCTTGTTTTCGGTATCTTTTTTATTACTTTCTGTTTGGTACTAATTTATTTTGTGTTCGGTACGTACACTATTTCGGGCTTAAAATAAAAGCATTTCAAAGTTTTTTTTATAAATTTATACAAAATTACTTAAAATTTACACCATATATTGGTAACATACACATAAAAAATTACATTATTGTACCCGTCGTTCGTTGTGATCGCCTTCGTTTAATAATGTTTTGATTAGTTCCACGATCATTACAAAATATTTTTTTACATGGAATAGTTTAAACACGTTCTCCTGACGGTAGAAGATTACCACAGGTGTGCTGTCAACATTGAAGGGGCTTGCATGTAGACTACATACATTTTACATTTGGCTTATTTGGATGTTCCAGGTGTGGCGGAGCCCTTAGCGTCCGTGCCCGCACTCCGCAGTGGCAATGAGCTAGGAGGTCGTGAGGTCAGGCGAGCAGGCCGCACGAGATTATGCTCATGCAGCTCCTGGACCCCCCCTCGGGCTGAGCGGCCACCACGCGTTTCTTCTTTTTTCCGTTAGCGTCGTAAACTCTCTCCTCCTGCGCTCAAGTGAATGTCTCCATGTTTATATTTTGAATTCGTTTTCATTCGTAGTTAAGAAAGAAGCAGAATTAGGAGCAGCTATCGATGAAAACTCATAAAACCGTCCACGTTGTTTGCAGTAATATTAAACTGTCAGTGATTTAATTAAAACGTTCAATTATCTATAACTTATTCCATACTCCATACATTAAGCTACATTTTTATAAGTATTATGCATCTAAGATAGGTTTAAAAAAATCACACACTTTTGGGAAAATCAGTATAGGCTGGGAAAGTAAAAGTAGGTAGATAAAAAATATTTCAATATTTTTGCCTGTTGTAAAAGTTATTACAACAATACGCCTATAGACGAAGATAATAGTGCTTGTAAAGATCGAAAGGAGAATGAGGGTGACTTTTGCTTCCTTAGGAAGTTAATTAGGTAATTTTCGATAGAGAAAATAAGAAATATCTATATGAAATGTTCTATCTAATCGCTGTCGCTCTTTGTCTCACCTCATTTATCAGAATAAATTGAGTATGCCATTGAGCACATTGAGCTCTGTGAGGTCGCGGTATGTCCCGATGCGGCTCTCTCACAGACAAGAACGACCATGGGTCTTTCATAGTTACGTCAACCGAGCCAGAGACAGACAGAGGCGTGTATTGGGCGCCATACCACGATGGTTGCACTTACCTCAACGATCTCCCCGATCTTGTACTTGGACAGTATCACCCTGGAATCGGACGTGTGGCCGACCTCGTCGAATGCTTTCGTTGAGTCTCTGCCGGCTTCCTCGAGGATCACGTCGCCCCCTGGGTGCTGCGAAATACGCCAAATGGCACACATGCATAAATCATGTAAATGAAAACGCATGATCAAGCCAAGCCAAGGCTCGCTCATAGCTCTACACTTGTAGTAATAAAACTTTAAATAATTCGAATTGGGTAAATCTATTAAAAGAACGTGCTTACGATTATGTACATTTTTATAATGCTATTATTAATAATATTACTATTAATAAGTCGAGACTTATAAGACAGTTGACTGATGTAGATATTAATCAATCATTTATTTGCCATCTAAGTTTACATTATATAAATAGGTGAAACAGTATACATTATACAAGGTGGCTTTTTTAAAGGTGCCCAAATTCACACAGGAGGTTCAGACTCGAAATGAAATAAAAACAAACTTTTTTTTTTTCAAAAAATTACCATACTATTTCCTAAAAAACAGAACTTGTTGACAATGCGGAAGTCTTAAATAAATTATAGTGCTAATCTCTGCTCTTAAGATTGTACAACAAAATTTATAGAAAAAGTACGAAAAGATTGTGGCCGCTCTTTTATCTACATTGTTTCTTAAGAAACAATGTAGATAAAAAACGTTAAGGTTTTCGTTGGTGTGGCAATCAGCCGTTTAGTGGCTAATGGAATGCCGAATACGTGGGTTCGATTCCCACAGCAGCGACAATCTTTTCGTACTTTTTCTACAAATTTTAATGCGGACGTCATTCATAAATACGTCGTATACTTTTGAAACGAACTTGTGTGCGTGTTAGTTATGAATGATCGCGCGTAAAATAAATTAGTTGCCGATAAATCACGCACTTTTGAGATAAGTTCAAATGAATGTAATTAATTAATTACGTGTGATTTTAAACATTTATAATTTTTATATAACATTATTTATGTCTAGAATTTAACAAAAAAATGGATACACTAAGAAAAGTCTCCCTGTATAAATAGGTGATACGGCTCGCTTGGTATATTTTATTCCACAGTATCATTATACTGTTTATTTGAGACATTTCTCACGGCATTCTACTTTGGGGTAACGCGGCCGACATTAATACAATCTTTATCCTTCAAAAGAGAGCTATTCGTGCAGTTTATAATCTCTGCCGCTCTGAATAAGGATAAATTTTCAAGACATAATAATGTTAATGATAAAAATACTAGGAACAAACTTAAATTGATCCTACCCACAAGTAGACTGCGTAGAATAAGTAAATCTTTTATGGGACAATGTATACGTTTTTACAAAAAAATTCCAGAAAACGTTAAAAATACATCAATAGCTAAATTTTAAAAAGTAGTAAAAGAACGTTTGTATGTTAAAGGCTATTATAATATTAATGATTATTTAATGATAAAAAAGCCCGCCGAGTTTCTTCCGCCGGTTCTTCTCAGGACAGTGGCTTTCTTTTACGAACCGGTGGTAGTATTTTGACTATCAATAAGCGAGTGTAACACTTCTATGTTGAATAAAAATATTTGATTTTGATTTTGAAAATAGGTATACTACATTTGGCAAGGTATGTGCCTGCCGACTGCCAGTTCGGTGTGGGGGGCAGTCTGGGGGCTCAAGTCTCAAGACGCTCGGAAGGAGGAAGGAGCTCACCTCGCCGATGTAGGTGGTGATATCGTAGACGGCGTCCTTGTAGATGATCCAGATTGGGCCGTTGTCGCGTCCGGTGCGCGCGGCGACGTCCGCCCGCGTGTACAGCTGCACTTCGCTCATACTGCGCTACCCGAACTCTCCTCTAACAATTCCATTTTAAACATCAACACAATCCCAACTAAGTTCGCAACAGTTAGGTATACCTCACACACTCGATAGGTCAGAATGGAAGGGGCATATATGGGGCATTGCTAAGTTGTGCAAGGTATGTGGGATGATTAAGATTGATTTACAAAATGTTATTGTTAAGGTTAATATTACTAAACTCCTGAAATATAAACCCTTATAGCAGCAGTAACCGAATTCCTATAAATTTAAAGTACCTGAATCCAAATGACAATACCAAAAAAAAACGAATTTTAGGAAATGTCTATTACTATATCAATTTCGGATAACAATTATATCGGATAATAACTCGAGCGATGGTCTTATCGCTGTTAAGGTATTTGTATTTGTTTGCGTAATCAACGTTCTTTTATTGTATAAAAATGTAAAAAAAAACTTTGAATACTATCCAGATCTCTCTTCGTATACTTTTAAAAAGAAACGATTTGCAAAGTTGGCTTATCGCCTGAAGATAATGCGATCATTAACATGACCGTTAATTTAGCAGGAACCGAAGCGACTAATCGAATTGGATTCAGCATGATAGAGCGTTAATAATCATGCGTTAGATAAGTCGTTCACATTTTTTCCGGGAGGATGAGAATCAAAATTTGTTATACGTATCGTTTTTACCCAATAACGCTCAATCAAATCAAATGAATGCTCTATCATTATTGTACAATGTAAAAAATATGCGTGCGTTAATTGCATACGATTAAAAACTGATCTTCAACAGATAAATCTTTGAATATGGCATCTAATGATTGAAGTAATATAGGGTTTATGACAGATCGGTTAAACAACGCATCATACGAGTAATTGAGTATGTATTACGTAAGAGAAAGATTCAGCGCTCTTTTCTTTCTATGAACTTTACTCTCTATGAATCTTTTCTTCCTATGAATTGTAAAGCACTTGAAGTATATGAAATAATAAATAATTATGGATCTTTGAGAATCGGTGTACAATATAACTTAGCTGGTCGCCACTGTCAGGGCACTTAGTTGAATCGAAAACAAATATAAGGAAGGGATTGAACATACATATCTTGTAGTGTTTGTTCTTAGTGACGTCTTACGCTATCGAACGATCTGCGTGTTCATTTGTGGCCAGATACGATCGCATCGGATAAACTATGAAGAGAATTTTATTTATTTGAACAAAATTTGGTTGTGTTATATTAAGGAGGTTGAAAAAGAAACGAAATCAGTCACTTCAGGAAACAGGAAGGGGAAAAGATTTTAGCTCTGCACCCGCCGTGTGTCTCCTCACTTCCTGCAGATGGCGTTTGTGGCCAATGGGCTGGCAATTCTAGTATATTGTTATACGAAATGATGTAGTATTAATTCTACAAACAAAATTTTGAACTACCACTAGGGAAGGTACCAAACTTAGTAATATATCATAAAGGCTGTCCTAAAAAACCACGGTCTTCCATTTTATGTTCTTTACTGCTAGACGACTTTCCGCGTATGTTTGTTGTAGTTAATTATAATTAATACCTAAATGTTGATTCAGACAGATGGGATGTTCGTACGGCATGCACGGTAAACATGTTTACTTTATGAAAGCAGTGTTTGCGATTCATTTAATTATAAGCCGGATTGGCCTCTCTCCGTTTCTCAATAAAATATAATCCTACACATGCGTTACCGGTGGATTATTATGGGTAGCAAATGGCAACAGAACTCTCAGCCGTTTCTGGACTACATTATGGGAAATTAATATTTTCATCTGCGGATTCGTTAAACCTATCTATATTCGATAGCTCATTGTCCGGGCGCTTTTAATTCAATATAGTCGAGCAACCTGAATTCAAACCCGGTTCTAGCACCAATGAAATTGTTAATTTTTAAGTGCTGTCTTATCACGTGCTCTGCGGTGAAATTTTCGAAATAATTACAAAAAAAAATTTTTCGAAGATATGTGAAGTCCGTCAATCCGCAGTGGGGCCGCGTGGTGGACTATGCCCTAAAACCCTACGGTACAGACCTAGACAGGTAGGTTAGAGATTCATTTTAACCGTGTCGATTGTGGATGCTTTGAGTAAAAATGAAAAATTTTGTATCCAATGTGGAAAGAAAACAGTTCTAAAGTCACAGTGTGAGCAGTCGTGTGTACTGGATGCTACTGCATTTGTCTGTTTGGTAATTTTTTTTATTAAAAACATTGCCCTTACTTTAGGATAACATTATCCTGTGTTGTAAGGACGTTTCTACAAACATAAATTTCACGTGGACAAACACCCAGATGCGAAAAAACTATCTGTGGGTCACACAAATAGTTGTCCCGTGTAGGAATCGAACCCACGACCCCGACGCCGAAGCCAATCCTCTTGGCAACTGCGCCACGGAGTCGTCAAAATTGTTTATATACATTCCTCAGTCCTCTTTACACATATAATAAGAAATAAAATAATGTTTTCAATAGTATTGGCTTAATTCTGACTTAACATTTCTATAAAATGTTTGTATGTGTAATTTAAAAAAAAATTATAAGAAGAAAAAATTTAATAATAGAATGTATTCAATGACGACGTACCTACAATAGTGACCATACGATGTGATTAAATGTGTGCGCGTTTGATTCCTTTTGCTGAAATGTACAAATGTGCAAATATGGAGGTTTATTTAACGAGTACTCAGATATTTTCCATTTTGTGCACAGATAACATTAGTTTATTTTATTTATATTTTAAAAAACATTGCCCTTACAGTAGGTTAACATTATCCTGTATTGTGAGGACGTTTTACAAACAGAAATTTCACGCGGACAAACGCCCAGGTATCGCACCTGTCATCACAACTATCTGTCGGTCACACAAATAGTTGTCTCGTGTGAGAATCGAATCCACTACTCTCAACGCCGAAGGCAATGCCTTAGCAACTGCCCCAGCGAGTATGATGAAAAATTAAAATTAAAATTATTTTTCAATATCAAAGTTAAATTATATAATTTCATATATTTTTATCACAGCTATGAAACAATCATAAAGACGGATTCTTTTAAAGATGTAGTTCGATTATTATTATGTATAACATCTTTATATAGTACCTTCATTTACAGGACTTGCTAGTGTCTTAAGTTTATGAAAACGTGATTATTAAGTTTGTACTAAGGTGGAAATTATTCCAGCGCAATTTTAACTCAGAGACCGGGGTGAGGTGGAAGTATTTTACTTTCACGTTTCGTCTGATGTGAGGAACCGGGGCCGATTTTTTTAATGGTTGGCAACGCATCTACAAGCCAATTTTGCATATATCCATTGATGGCGATAATCACCTTACAACTTAACATTAGGTCCGACTGCTCTCTTTCCAACTTTTTCACATTAAAAAAAAACCTTTTATCGTCGGTATTTATTGACTTTTAAACACTTTTAAAGTGCGCTATCGTTGTAAACGAACATTGAAAGTTGAAGTGAAGGCTAATAAAAAAGGTGTTGAAAGTCTGACCTGCGCGCGGCGCGGTGTGCGGCTCCTTTGCGAACTGGTGGTTTTTGCACGGTCCCTATCTCGACGACGATGTATCAGCGATTGCGGCATATCGCGACGATAAGCGCTGATCGCGACTTCCACCCACTCGTCATCTTCGTTTCATTTTCACTCCTTAGATATGGAGATTCTCTATATAACAATTTTCTGTTAGATTCGGATACATACATGTACAATTATGTTGCTACTTCCAGCGGTATACTACAAGGTAAATATTGGCTGGGATGCAAATACGCTAATGTGGTGGTTTTCTTCTGAATTCTTAGTACATTAAAGTTGTCATCGGGCCGAAATCCGTCTGCTACGCTCGTCGATGCAAATATTGCAACCGCATCACCGATATGCCAGTTTGCGAACAAACTTTATGAATTTTGAATGGAATTATTTGCTTTTAAAAAAGACTAGCTGTAAGCTGTCGTGTATGTGACGAAACAGCGTATTGATTAATTTTACATATAATATTATGAACGTTATTATTGTCACTTCAGCTATAAGGTTCGTGGAATAAATAAAGAAAAAATAAATATTTCAGGACATATTTTAAACAACGCTATCTCCGGCACTGCATACAGGTCCACTATAACTCCACCAATCCTTACTAATATTATAAACGCGAAAGTTTGTATGTATGGATGGATGTTTGTTACTCTTTCACGCAAATGCTACTGAAGGATTCTAATAAAACTTTACAATAATGTAGCTTATACATCAGATTAGAACATTAGCTATAATTTATATACATATTTTATGTATATCTGTCTTTCTCTCTGAATTTTACGCATTCAGCCTATTCTCCGCAGAAGTAGTCGCGGGTTGCAGCTAGTGGGATCATAAACGGAGTATTTTAGTTCCTTCATTGTACAAGTATTGTTATAGCTAATGAAATTTTTGGATGATGGTGGGTATATAGATCAAGTGTTATTACATAATAACTGTTTAATTTCATTTATTATTACTGTTGTTCGGCAACATCATTTATTTCAATAGACTCTAATGTACTGCAAATAAATGGAAGATAATTATTCTTTAGTAAGGAATTAGCAAGTTTGAATAAATAATTAAAAATATTGAAACATGATTTAAAACAATACCATAATTTAGATTCGAGTAATTAGCTAAAAAAAAATTACATTTGTAGCTTCGTTTTTAGGTACTGTTTTAAATAAAAAGACCTATAACAAAGTTCGAATTCAAAAACAAGATTCAATTGTACTCTCTTAGTCAATTGTTATTTTCAGCTTTTACTAGTCTTTGTAAGATGTAAAATCAGGGCAAATCGAGAGTCTACGAAAACTTTCCTTACAAGGGATATTCCCTTGAAGCGGGCGCGTAAAACATTTCGATGTTTCCAATTTTATGGATATTTGATTATGTCCATAAAATATTTTGACAGTATAAAGTCTAGTTAATGAGACCATGAGCTTTGAAAATTTGACCATAGAACAAGACGTATCCGCTACT